ATATTAATCACTGAATATGAATCTCATTTATCCAGAAGATACAGAATGCTGATGGCTACTCACCGTCAGCTGAGCGTCCGTGTTTCTGTCAGCGCTGACTGTACGTGTGTTTATATCTGAGCTTTGCTCCTTCATGTCTTCAGTGTGTCAGCGTTCAGCTCCACAGCACTATCGATCTGTTTAGACACTCATTCTGCCCTGCTGACCCCGCGCTCATCTCATAATAACACAACAGTAACCATCGCTCGTCATATGTGCATGAATATGTGTATGACTTAGACATGATCACAGCCATTCTCTAATCACACATTCTAATCATTCGTGCGCTTGTAGGTCAGACGCACTTGTTGACTTGTTTAGACATTGACCCGTCCTTAAATTACCTTTATCTTTCAGTTAGAGAGATGATATCATTATTATTTTTATTTGTTTATTACTATTATTTGAATGACACAGGTTCAGATATGGACACTTGATCCAATAAATGACGTTCACGTCAACATCAGTTGTTGATCATTCATCTATAACTATATTCTTCAACTACAGTATATTCTGTAACTATATATATATATATATATTTGTTTTTCATTAGAATGTCAGCTAATTTGCATGGCACCATTCATAAATGCATTGTATAAATGCATTATTAAATTAAATTATTGAATTAAATTTTTAATTTACTGTAATCAATACATCGTATAAATGCATTATTGAATGCAATTATTAATTTAATTTAATATTTAATTGAATTTAAACGTTTAATGGCAAGTTCTGCAACAGATATGTAATTAGAATTGATATTTTATGATGATTTTAGCATTTGTTTTCATTAGAATATCAGCTCATTTGCATGGAACCATTCATCAATGCATTATTAAATTTAATTTAATTTAATTTAATCAATGCATTGTATAAATGCATTATTAAATTATATTAAGTTATTAATTTAATTTATTTTGGTTTGATTTAATTTAATTTAATTTAAACGTTTTAATGGGAAGTTCTGCAACAGATATATAATAAGAATTTATATTTTATGATTATTTTAGCATTTGTTTTCATTAGAATATCAGCTAATTTGCATGATCTATAATCAATGCATTGTATAAATGCATTATTAAATTATATTAAATTATTAATTTAATTTATTTTGGTTTGATTTAATTTAATTTAATTTAAACGTTTTAATGGGAAGTTCTGCAACAGATATATAATAAGAATTTATATTTCATGATGAATTTACCATTTGTTTTCATTAGAATATCAGCTAATTTGCATGGATCCATTCATCAATGCATTGTATAAATGCACTGTTGAATTAAAAAAACACAGGTATTCATAGACTGGATTCTCTTTATTGAAACATATTTAATAGCAAGCTCTGCGACAGGCCTGTTTGTCCATCATGCATCACATAAAACCAATTCTAACACACATCCACGAGTCCATCATCAAGTTCACCAGCATTATTCACATTCAGCAGATGTGGCTTGAGATGCGCAGAATCTCTTTTAAAACCAGGTAGAGAAACAGCATGATTAATTTGTTACCCATATGTGTGTGCGTGTGTGTGTGCGTGTGTGTGTGTGTGAGTAAGAGAGAGAGAGTGTGAGTGAGTGAGTGAGTGTGTGTGTGTGTGTGTGTGTGTGAGAGGGAGAGAGAGAGTGTGTGTGTGTGTGTGAGTCTGTGTGTGCGTGTGAGTGTGTGTGAGTAAGAGAGAGAGAGTGTGAGTGAGTGAGTGAGTGTGTGTGTGTGTGTGTGTGTGTGAGAGGGAGAGAGAGAGTGTGTGTGTGTGTGTGAGTCTGTGTGTGCGTGTGAGTGTGTGTGAGTAAGAGAGAGAGAGTGTGAGTGAGTGAGTGAGTGTGTGTGTGTGTGTGTGTGTGTGAGAGGGAGAGAGAGAGTGTGTGTGTGTGTGTGAGTCTGTGTGTGCGTGTGAGTGTGTGTGAGTAAGAGAGAGAGAGTGTGAGTGAGTGAGTGAGTGTGTGTGTGTGTGTGTGTGTGTGAGAGGGAGAGAGAGAGTGTGTGTGTGTGTGTGAGTCTGTGTGTGCGTGTGAGTGTGTGTGAGTAAGAGAGAGAGAGTGTGAGTGAGTGAGTGAGTGTGTGTGTGT